CAGGCCTCTCTCATCTTTTTAAGTGGGAGAACTTGCACAATTGGTGGCTGACTAAATACTTTTTTACTCCACTGTATCTCAATTCTATACATTGAACCTGGCCCTGGATGCTTACCCAGGGTTAAAATAACTTTTTGGTTGCTTTTAAACCTATCACAGCTACTCTGTAAAAGTAGAAGGCAAACCACATTCCCATTTACCTGGTCGATCAAATGTTTTATCACATTTAGGACACTGCAAACATTTTTTGCTGCTGTTCTGAAGAATAGGTGGAATACACGTGGAAACATTGTCTTCAGAAATATTTCCTGCTGGACCATCTGGTTCATGGATCTCTCCACCACATTCTTTTTCACTGTGCTGTTCAGACTCGGTATCATCTCCCAAAGTGTCCTCTTCCTGCCTATCTTCATCAGTATTGTATTCACTTCCACTATCTTCAGATTCACTACTCTCCTTACTAGGAGCAATTCTATCTAAATTGTTATCAGATGCATTACCACTTTCATTGTCACTCTGATCAAATTTTGCTGGGCATTTGCGATTTCGCACTGATCGTCTAGTAGAAATAACTGACTTCTCAACCATTTTTAGCCCATGTTCTTTTTCCTGTGCAGATGATTTGTGTGCTTTGGACAAATGATTTTCTAATGATTTCTTGTAACAAAAATTACGATTACACAAAGTGCATTGGTGATTGTTGGCTATTTTAGGAGTTTGTTCGGTTGTCTTTTCTACCTGAGATGGGTTTTTTGTTTTCTCTTCAGATTGTGAAATGGAAATATTTTCACTGTTCAGCAATTTAACTGCATCAATAATATCTAAAAATTTTGCTGCTTCTAAAACTAAAGGTACTTCATTTTTATTTAAAAAAAACTGTGATGTGTAAAGAAACTCAAGCAAATGATGGAAAACTGAATGTGTTACATGATCCAAGGTAACAACATTTGTATTTGGATTTTTGCTCAAATAAGCATGAAAGTAACTGCTCCCAACAGCAACTACTACTTTGTGGGCACTAAATTCTTTTCCATCAACAGTTATAAGAAGATCACAAAAAGATGGCTGTTTCTGTCGATCATCATTCAAATATTTAAGTAGATTTTTATTGTATTGCAAAGAAGTTAAAAGCTTTCTTTGATCAGGCAACAGAGAAAGTTCTTTGGAATATATGAACTGGCCTGCAGTAGCTACTTCTGCAGAATCAACATGAGCTTCCTGTTCAGAATCTGCTGCAGGAATCTTATCAGTACGATCCCGCCGATGATCAAGATGTATTTTGTCATCTAGATTTACATTGAGTCTTCTCCTTTTCTTCATTGCAATTGTGCCACTTTAAAATCAGAACTGTCATAAATAAGCCAACCTTTTCCAAACAAATAGTTGCTTCAATGATACTTGAAGTTATGACCTGCAAATGGATCAAATAATTTTTTTTTCTTTGAAACCAATGAATGTAATTTGTTAACAGGGATTCATTCAGTTTCTTAACCCCAGTTAATGTACTTTCACATTTGGTAAAGTCCTAAAAATTGGCATCCACCCTTTCTTTTTAGAAAGCAAAAACACAAAAACATTTTGCATTTACACTGAAATATTCTACAAGCCACACACATTTTATCAAGCTGTAAATAGTAATCTTTCTTCTTGTCAACAGAAGCTATGGGAAATATAGCCAGGAAATACTGTTGAACCAGGAAGCATTTAGATCCCTCTCCAGCTGCAGTATCTCTTTAGAATGTTGCCACTATTAAAATCACTCACGGAGGCACAGATTAAAAAAAAAAAGTTTTAATTATTCTTACTGCATCTCTCTTGCTCATCTTTAAGCAAAGCAGGGGACATTACACACATACTACTATCTAGAGTGAAAAAACAATGGGGGGCCTCTGCATATTTGTTTATTCACTGCAGAATGAACAGTTGGTCACTGAGAAAGCAGTCATCTCTGAAGCACTCACCTGCTCTGAGTAGTTATGATTGCCCAAGACAGATACCAAATAAGTACATGGCTCCTTTCTCTTATACTTAAAAAGCAACATATGTAAGCAGATGAAACAGGGTGCAGGAAACATGACAATCAAGATGTTGCTGAACTATAGCTGCCACAGCCAACATAACCAAAGGAAAGGAATGCTGATAATTCAACATATGGAAGGCCACAGGTTTTCCACCTGAGATAAGAAGTTACAGGAGGGCTGATAAGCAATGAGTAAGTGTGAACAGTATAATATATCTTGCTAAACTATGGTTTAATAGTTTATTAAACCATAATTAGTGGGTTTACACATCGATCATCAAACAAATCAACCCAGACTTCTCATTCGAGGCACAAATGACCAGGGTCAAATTATCCTACTTTGAACACATTACATGAAGACCTAACTCTCAGGAGAAGACTCGAATGCTGGGAAAGATTGAAGGAAAGAAGAGGATGACCAAAAGATGGATGGACTCACTTATAGTGGCAATGAGTATACAATTGGAAAACCTGAAAGACCTGGTTAGGGACAGGTCGTCATAGAGAAAATCGATGTGTTTGCTAAGAGTTGACAATGACTTGATGGCACATAATAAAAATCAAATTAATAACCATGGTTTACAAACAAGGGCTGGGTTCATACAACACATTAAGCCAGAACCAAAGAAAGCACATTATAATTTAGTGTGTCATGTGAACCAACGTTTGCTTAGTCCTTCCTTATAGGGAAAGCTCAGTGTGTCAAAAACAGCTGTTTCTTTTTCCAAGCTGCTGTTATCTCCTTCATTCAGGTTTTTTTCTCTGAGTGGCACAGCAGGAAAGATCTGGTTCATGGGTGCTATCCAGAGAAAAATCAAGACAACAAGTAAGATAATGGGTTTGTGCTTTCCACAACCAAGTCTAGATGCTGTACAGCTGGTGAAAACAGGTAAACTGTTGGGGTGATGCAGTTGGTTCCTTTGCTTCTGTGACTTAATCTATCCACCCAAAGAGGGACAGCAAGAGACAGGAAGCAGTATTAGCCACCTCCCTCTTTTGCTTAAATGCTGTTGTTCTGGGAGAATGCCACCCAGGCAGCATGTGACCAAGACTGCTCAGATTTTATTATTAGCAGGCAATGAATGCCCCTCACTGGATTGCTCTGACTTTTTTTTCTTTCCTCTTCAGTGCTCTATCTGCTAATGCATTCTGTCTGTTTGCAATGATCCATGGCCTTAGCCACATAAAGAAATCAGAACATGTCCACCAGCATCCTCAGCCTAGATAATATTACAGGTCCTATCTTCCCTGCTGTGCTTAGAGCAAGAGAGATGTGTTAAGAGATGAGCAAGAGAGATGTGGTAAGTGTCCTTAGCCAAGCAAAACCAGCATCAGCAGCAGGTAGCTGCTCCTTTGCTCCCTCTCCTTTCAGTGAGTGATGAAAATAACGACTTTGGCCCAACTGTCGCATTTCTAGAGCAAGGAGAGGACCAGAGAGGAAGCAGCTTCCATTACAGTCCCCTGTGAAGTATCCTCCGCAGAGAAAAGGCAAGGAAGAATGTTAAAGTTGTATCTCTCCTGGGCCAAATCCTTCCTTCCGCGGTGCCCGGAGAGGCTGAGCAAGAAAGAGGCGTCGGCACGAGCATATTTTGTTAGCCTGCATACCGATGCAGCGCGGCTGGAAAGGAGGGAGGGGAGGGGAGGGAACGGGCTTCAGGGGACTTCTAGAGGGGGACCCTCCGCACCGCTGCTTCCCGGCCTCTGTCGCAGGGTGGGAGGTAGAGAAAACTGCTATTTACGGTCGGGTCCCTTTCCTTTCTTAAAAGGGCAGCGGCAGTGCCCCCTTTCTTTCCCACAGCCCTTAACGTCATATGATGATGTGGCCCGCCAAGGGTGACCAACATATAGGTCTAACGTGTCACGTTCGCCCAGAAGCGGCAAGCAAACTAAAGCCAAGCCTCAGGCACGCTGAACTCTCGCGTCCCTCTTCACCCCGACCGGAAAGGCGAGAGTAAAACTGCGCCCCTCGGAAACCCCCCTGAACCCACCCAGCCTCGAACGAGGGGAGGAGCCTCTTGCCTACCTTCCTCCCCTATCCGAGGAAAGGGGCAAATAACGGTCCCAGGCGCGCGCACCACAAAAGGCTTCTTCCCCATTTGCCGCCGCCGTTACCAGGCCGGCCTCCCAATCCCGAAAAACAACTGCCAAAAAAAGAAGAAACACCCCCCCCCCAAAAAAACCTCGCCCCCTCACACCCCTCTGCTTTCGCCATCACTTCCGGGTTCCATGCGGGGGTAAAGAGCTACGTCAGCTCAGCCCGAGTTTGACAGGAAGCTGGACAGATTTATCGTTCCGACTCTATGCACGTGGGTGGGAAAGGGGGCGGAGCAAGAAGAAAAGCGCTGGCGACGACGCGGGGAAGGGGTCCTCTCTACCTCCGGCTCACCGTGGCATTTGCGGGATAATCAATGCCAAAACGCGAGCCACCCTAGAAACGTGCACTGTAGACTTCCTCCAAGAGACTGGGAAAAGTAGAGCGGAAGAAGTTTCACGTAGCCATCCGGTTGTGATGCGAGGCCTTTGAAGTGTGGCGGAAGAGCTGCAGAAGAATCCCGGGCGGTTTCGGGGACGCGGGAGGTTCGGTTTTCTCTTCAAAGTCGGTCCCGTCACACCGACCCGACCCTTTCCCTCGTTTTCAGCTGCCCGCCTGTTAAGCTACGTCGAGAGAAGTCCAGCTTTTTCTCCTTTGCTTTCCCTCCGGATGGATCTTGCGCGCCCACCAAACCCCTTGCTCTACTCAGCCCTCTTGAATGTAGTGCTTCTGAGATGTGTGAAATTTAGCTTCTCATGATCCTCAGCAAGGCTGGAGAAAGTATCTCTCTCTCTCTCTCTCCCTCTCCCTCTCATGCCATCCAGAAAGCGGGAGAAGAGGCAGGCTAAAAATAATAATTTTTAAAAATAATAATAGGGGTGGTCACTCACTCAAGAAGACCCTGGTGCTTCTGGCACGCTGCCTAAACAAGTAGAAGGAGCTTTAGCCTGAGAACAGCTGGAAGCAATCGCCCTGTAATTACCTACCATCACTTGTCCCCAATCTCTCTTTCGTTAATGAAGGGCAAGGGAGCAAGAGAAGCTAGTAGCTGTTCACCACTCATTGGTGGCCCTCCCCCTGAGTGTTGTTGCAAGGCTGAATTGAGTATATTTCCTCTGTCACGCTGCCTAGATGGAGAAATAAACTTAGGAAAATGAAAGGTTTTACCACCTCCCAACAATCTGTTCTTTCTCTTACATTGGTGGATGTGGGTGGGAACAGTTAGGCAATGGCTGAGATGTGCAATAGCTACCATTTTTGTTCAGTAGCAGGATGCAAGGAAAGTAGCCGATCACTTATACTTGCAGTCTCCAGAAAAGTTGCCACGTAGAGAAGTCTATGAATCAATTGTGTGTTTGTGTAAATAGGATTGGAAACAAATGCTAAAGTTACTTCAATATGAATGTCAATATTATCCTTGGTTGGTTCCAGCAGTGATACATATTTAACAAATCATTTAATGGGATGGGCAAAACAAGGAGGCTGGTAAACAACTAGGCACAGAAACACTGTGTTCAAAGTATCATAATTGAAGTTTTGTATTTTTCAGTTTAACAGTATCCCTGCAAGGTGTCAGTAATATATTAGACTTTGGTTTTCCAGTTTTCTTCTTACTGACACTTATTAGACACACACACACACTCATCCTTTAATTTTTTTGCATGGGATTGTTATAGAAGACTGGTAGGTTATTTAGTGGAGTTTATTATTTTGAACATCTTACATAAGCAGTTAAAACACTTCACTAACTAGCAGTCTCTTTTCCAAATATGTTTCAAGTAGCTTTAAATCCCTACCTAATTTGCAACCCATATAACTAAGGGAACAATTGTACCCGTATCTGAGATAACCTCTGGAAATTTTATAGTGTCCCTACTTTTCTATTTGAGACGTAGTGATGATCTGAGAGACAATCTCTTTGTAGTATCCATGTACAGAATATCATTCCCAAAGACAGGCACCAATATTACAAGGACTGCGGAAGACTTTTATTCACACACCCCCACACACACACACTTTTAATGTGTTTTCCTTTTTACATGCTGATTGTTATAATTTAGCTTGATTTTTGAATTTCATTTTGTTCTATAAACAACCAGTAAATACTACTGAAGGTCATTATCTGTCTGTCTGTCTCCTCCTGGGAATTAATGTTTGGCAGTAGGGTTGGATCAGTTTTTAGTTCCCTGATATTACAAAGGCAGAAATAAAAATAGTGTAAATAATTGATTGGCATAATTAGCACTGCCCACTTTCTGTTGATTCTCTTGAGAACCCCATAAGATGACAACAGGACACAGAATGTGTAAGTTTGTTAATTACTTTAGGGTTTGTAACAGTATCTGTTTCCTGTTCCTATACAACATTTAGTTGGTTACAGAACAATTAATGAGGATCATAGTGATATAATAGTAGTTCAAGACCAAAAAAAACCCTTTATATTAATGCTGAGAAAAAAAAAATTGAACCTAAAGAAATCTGAACCCCTAAAATTATATTGCCCTGTATCCCATTTGTTGGCATAGTTTCAGCTCTACAGAATGAATAATAAATGCTGAATTCAGAAAAAGGTAATTGTCTTGCCAGAACTTGAGCAAAGATCAGTGCAAGTTAGTATTCAGATGTAGGTTGCTAGATATTTCTGAGGGAATAAATGACACCATGAAGGTAACTAGCCTCTGCTGCCATTTGTACACATATCTGTCTGAAGTAGGCAAGGTCAAAAAGCAGGCATGGCATGGATTCCAGAAATGCTCTTAGTTGTAGTAGGGTACAATAACAGAATCATGAAAGCCTGTCCAAGTTTCTCTCTGTACCATTTTATGATAAACAAAATCAACGTGTGGTTATTCTGAGTTTAAGTGCTTCTTGATTTTGACATCAAAAAGTCTTGATCTGACTGTTAATTATCTCCCGCTTTGCTGAGACATGGCAAGTGATCCCTTATGACTGTGATATCTTTCAGGATATCAGAATGTCACGTTTGCATTCAGCCTCAGCTATTCCAGTGCCAACAGCAGTATAACCACCTAGCTGTTAGTTAATTCTCCCAACAGAACCTGAACCTGCAAAAGAAGCTAATGTAAGTTTGTTTCTGATACTAACACAAATAACAGAGTATCCCTTGAAACCCATACTATTGGTTTTATGGGTCTGCAAACAGTACAGTACTGTATGTTCCTACAACTCCCCTGAGAATGTAACATTTTAAGATGCCTGGAACTTTAGTAGCCATCATGATGATGTGCACTGTATTGTTGTTGTTGTTGTTGTTGTTTTTAAAATGTTAACAATTCTGTCAATTCCTAATACCATATACAAACTGTATAAAATAACTAGGCCATGTGCCCACTAGGGGGCGCAGTTTATCAGTGTATTGGAATACACTCCTGCTTCTGCAACATCCCTAAATCACAGAAAACTAAACTCAGTGCAACATGACTGGAAGCAACCACACCGGGGAGGTATTGTCTTATTTTTTGTTCAGAGGCTGCATGACATGTTGTGATGAGTATCTTATTAATATTGAATACATTTTAAGATGTCCTTTAAAAATATCCTGAATTTCGGAGGCAGCATACAAATATATGTATAAATAAATAAACATGACAAGTATCATCAAATATCTTTCAGCTAGGATGACTTGTATCCAATTATAATAACAGATCCAAGAATCTTTAACTATAAGACTAAATTTTATGAAAGAAAAGATGCTATTCATGTTGCTACTGCTAAATCAGTTACTTTTTTAAAGAAAGTAAGAATTGAGGTTTTTTGTACTGCTCCAATTTACCTAACTCATCACAAAAATGAAAAATTATGTATCTGCAATGGATATCTACATTGATTATATATACAATAGGACTCTGGGATCTTAATTCAGCACCAGCATGGATTTTCTTAGATAGTCTGAAGTAACTTACTAGGGCGGGATCACTCATAACATAAGTCATGGTTATACAATGCACACAATTGGCTGAGTTTGTACAATATATGAAACCATAAACCATGGTTTACAGTGTATAGTGGTTGGTTTACACAATGCACTTTGTTGTTGTTTAGTCGTTAAGTCGTGTCCGACTCTTTGAGACCCCATGAACCATATTGCGCCAGGCCTTCCTGTCCTTCGCTGCCTCCCTGAGTTTGCTCAGT